AGAAATTAGTCAAAGTACTATTACAGCAAAAGCAAAACCTTGATCCAGAATTGGTGAGTGAGGTGTTATTTTTAAAAAGAATCATGAATTTGTTAGACACATTATATTAAGCTGACAAATAATTAATATGCTACTTGTTTTCATAACTTATAATCTGTGATAATAACATGTAATTTGAATTATATTTGCTTTGCTTAACTCTTTATTCGAAGTATATTTGCTTTTGTAACTCAATTTACAAAATTTTCAATAAATTAATTGTTGTGACTCGAATAACTCGAATAAAACTCGAAGAATATTATTATCGAATGATTCGAGCACTCTTCGGAATTTAATTCGCGAGTTACGAGTTAACACGAGTCCAGTCACTAACGCAGACGAAGTTAAAGTTTCGGCAAATGGTCGAATAGAAATTTTTTAGGTGGTATACGAAGATTATGCTCATGCATTTAATTCTATAAATATCATCATTGATTGAAATGCTCGAATGTCATCATGATTATTAATTAAATAATTGATTGAGATGCTTGAGAACATCATTAGTGATAGTGTTAGTGAATCAATGATTCAATTACGATCAAGCGTAATGTGACACGATCAGTAATAAAAATTTACATAACAGACCAAATTTTTATACTCTAACAAAATTTTTTTCTTATGAAATTTTACCTTATTATGATGATACTTTCATAATAATCCTAATACTTATCGTAAATTTAATGAACAATAAGAAATGTATTGAATCCCGTCTTTACTGCATGGTGTGATTCCTAAACACAAGAGCATATTAAAACAAGCCCATAAACATGTAAAATAACATTTGAAAGGTATAATACTATTACATAAAAAAATGACAAACAGTACGTACGTACCTTCAACCGTGCTTATTAAATAAGACCTTGTACGTATGTTCAAAATTATCTTTAATATCTGTGAAGAAAAAAAATAAGGTTAAAGAGCAATTTTTTATCATGATATATAATACTAAATAGTATTACTTTTGAGCCTACTGTACCCAAATAATAACAATTAAAAAAAGTGGTGTAACTACCGTACAGCGCTGCATACAGTACCCCGGGTATTTTACAAAAAAGCCGGTCTAGATTGAATAATACCCCCAAATATCGAGAGACACACAAATAATCGTTACTGATCACTATATACTTTGTTATTAAACATATCAAACCAAATGAAAAGATCGCACTATTAATCGCTTGTAAAAAAAAAAGGGGGATACTATTCCAGGGGGGTGCGCTATACGGTAGTAGTCGATTCTGGGCCAGGTTATACATGTTGCCGATCATTTAAAAAAGTGTTGTAACTAATAAATCTGGGCCAGGTTATGCATGTTGCCGATCATTATGTAAAGTGGTTTACTATGCAGATTTTGGATTTACTAATTTCTCCCCATAATTCCTATTGGACGAAGAAAAATCGATCAAATAGTGGAAGTATCATTGAAACAGTACAAAAGGTCTAATAGATATACACTATACTAAAATTTTGCAAGGAATTTTTTTTGTTAGAATACAAAAGGTGATTTTGTAACCAAAATTTTAAGCTATTGACGATTTTTGAAAAACTTAGACTTTTTTTGAAAATTTTATGTTACACCTTGATCTTATAATTGACGAGGAGTGGCGTAATCTACTTTGTCCAGTCAGAGACGGAATTTGCAAATGTCCAATCAGAACTGTGGGGAGAAACCCAGATTTTGAGAAGGAAGCGATTTTTGGCAAAACGAACGTTTGTTTACGTTACACCTGATTCTCAATCTGATTTTAACTAAGCACAGATTTCGTAAATGCTAGATCATCTGACCACATCAATTCCTTTAGAATACATATAATATGCAGCATTTAAATAATTTTTTGTTTTGCAACTCACCTAGTATTGTCCTCATTTCGGAAAACTTTATCCCAATGTCTTTAAAATTTTATTTTATATTTATTATCTTAATTCTTATTTTAACTGTCTACTCAAAAATTACCTTAGCTGGACTTGAACTTGCACACAAACGTCAAGACCCCCCTATATGTAAAATCTTATAAACTGTTCAGTACAATACAATTGATAACTTGTCTATAACCGACATCACACAAGATGACAATTTCGTATACAGTCGTACTCCTCTATAAACACTCAGTTTATTCTATGCAAAAAATATGTGATTATAAAAATTTTCTTAATGATGTGCTTATATTAAAGTATTTTTTACAAGTTTATTAATGAATTTTTCAAAATTTAAGGTGGTCGTATAGAATTTGACATTATATAGGAGGTGATTATAGAGGAGTATGATGTATTAGTTACGGTATATATCGTTTGTAAGTTGTCTTCGGTGTGATGCTGGTTAAATGACTTGTCAGTAAAATTCCGGATTAGAATTTATTAGGGTTATGGCAGACCAAGCAATACCAGCCAACCTTACCCGTAGCAAATTATTATATGTCATTTTACTATGACTTCATTAGTAAATTGATTGATATTGGATTCTGACCGGAATTTTGAAATCTTTCCGAATTTTTCTATACATGCATAAAAATTGTTGCTATATAATTGTACAATTTTTATGACTGTTTAATGCATATTTTACTTATTTTCTATTAAATTGTTAGGGTAAGTATAAACGTAAATGATGTTTTTATGATCTATTGATGCATGATTTCATATATTTTCCGTTTATTAGCAAGTAAGCATAAATTTATAAATTTAAATTGTGCTTCTCTATAAATATTAATGCTTGATTTTATCTATTGTTTATTTATTAGTATGTAAGCATAAATTTTATATTCTTAAATTGTGATTCTCTATAAATATTGGTGCATGATTTTATCTATTTTTTAGCAAGTAAGCATAAATTTTATATTCTTAAATTGTGATTCTCTATAAATATTGGTGCATGATTTTATCTATTTTTTAGCGAGTAAGCATAAATTTTATAATTTTAAATCATGTTTATAAATATTGATGCATTAATTTATCTATTTTTTATTATTAGTGTGTAAGCATGAATTTTATATTCTTAAATTGCGCTTCTCTATAAATATTGATAGATATTTCTCCATTTATTAGCGAGTAAGCATAAATTTTATAGTTTTAAATTGTGCTTTTATATAAATATTGATAGATATTTCTCCGTTTATTAGCCTGTAAGCATAAATTTCATAATTTTAAATTGTGCTTCTCTATAAATATTGATAGATATTTTTCCGTTTATTAGCATGTAAGCATGTATTAACTAATTTGGCATAGTTAAATCAATTTTAACCTCATAACTTATATATGTTTGCACACATTATTTTGTTAAACATTAGCTGGTAAATTATAAATATTATTGCACACACCTTTGTGACTTGTATATTTTTATTCCTAAATTGCTATGATTATAATCAAATTAATCTGTATTTATTAGCGAGTAAGTATAAACGTGATCATTGCGCTTAAATTTGGCTTTTATGATCTAATGTTGTGTGCTGGGTTATTAGTCCGTAAGTATAATTAAGTTGGATTTTCTAAAATGTAAACTTATAACAGCGCTCAAATTGGTTTTCATGACCTAATGTTACATGCTGTATTCTTAGTGCGTAAGTATAATTAGATTAGCTTATTTCTAAAATGTATGCTTAATCTTAGTTTCACATTAATAACGTTTTTGCAAATTATTATGTAAATTATTAGCCCGTAAGTATAAACTTATAACTACGATCAAATTGGCTTTCATGACCTAATGTACATGCTGAATCTTGGTTTCACATTAATAACGTTTTTGCAAATTATTATGTAAATTATTAGTCCGTAAGTATAAACTTATACTGTACTCAAATTAGCTTTCATTACCTAATATTACATGCTATATTATTAGTGCGTAAGTATAATTGGGTTAGATTATTTCTAAAATGTATGCTTAATATTAGTTTCACATTAATAATTTAAAATTATTAGTGCGTAAGTATAATTGGGGTTAGATTATTTCTAAAATGTATGCTTAATATTAGTTTCACATTAATAATTTAAAATTATTAGTAAGTATAAATGTTACCACTGCACTTAAATTTGACTTTTATGACCTAATGTTACATTCCGATTGTTAGCCCGTAAGTATAATTAGGTTAGATTATTTCTACATATCTAAGTTTCATATTAATAACGTATTTGCAAATTATTATGCAAATTATTAGCCCGTAAGTATATACTTATAACTGCGCTCAATTTGGTTTTCGTGGCCTAATGTTACATGCTGTGTTATTAGTAGGTAAGTATATTAGGCTTTATTTTTTCTAAATTGTATTTTTAATCTTAGTTTCATATTAATAACGGTTTTGCGAATTAATCTAAAATTATTAGCAAGTAAGTATAAACTTTGTTATTGCACTTAATGACCCAACATTACATATGTTGGATGACTAGTCCGTAAGTATTACCGGGTGAACATTAATGACATTTTTGTAAATTAACCTGTATTATTAGTCCGTAAGTAAAAGGTCATTACTGCGCTTAAATTTGACTTTAATGACCTTATGATGCATTCGGATTATTAGTCCGTAAGTATAATTAGGTTAGATTATTTCTACATAAAATGTATGCTTAATCTTAGCTTCACAAACCAACTAGCTGCTAGGCTAGGGTTAGTCGACTTAGTCGACTTGGCCGGTCGATTTTTGGAAAATCGGCACTCTTAATAAAAATCTTCTCCATTTGGCACAAAAGGGCAATATGCTCAAACGAACTAAATACCGTAGTGAGCTGCCTAAATACCAATATCTCCCTTGTAACATACCGGATATTTTACTGGCATATGTTTCTTTACCAGAGATAATATATCAGGTTATTTTGCACGGCACCAAATATTAATATATATACGTCGTGTCAAGTCCCCTTCATAAAATATCCAATCATAGATCAAACACTCCGGGTATTTTGTACGTAAGATTTTTGTTGGGTATATATTGTGTAAGATATTTTGTATTATACGGTCTTTTAGGCAGTGCACTGCAGTAATGTCTTTTAACCAAAAAGACATCTATGGTTATTTCTTCTTAAGATGAGTCTTTATTCTCTTTTCACTTGAGTGCCATGAAAAGTTATGCCAGATTAAAAAAATAATTAGCAGGCACTAATAATAAGTCATATTCGCTTGATTCAAAAAGGAGTTTTACGCTTAATCTAAATGAATTCACTTAAAGTACAATCGTTTTTATTGCCAATACAGCAATAGTCCTTCAAATCAGTCTCCAACTCCAGCAATCAGTAGTTTGGCCCAAACTACAACCACCAATAGTTTGGCTCAAACTACAACCACCAATAGTTTAGCTCAAACTATAACTACCAGCAGCCACTCTCCAGTGCGTCCTGGTGCTCCAGGTCCTACTGGACCGGTTCCCAGCAGATCTAATCCGTAAGTTTTAAGAAACATTTGGTTATTGTTAATCGTTTTAACCAATTATTTATATAAGAATCATCATTTTTATTAAAGTTCGACCACAACTACATCTACACCTAATGCGGCTGCTGCTCAAAGCATTTGCTTTAAAAGTCTAGAATTAATTATGTTTTCTTTTGTTGCTTTATTAAGTGGATGCCTATTATATTAATTTTGGATATGATATCGTTTATAATCAATATACATATGTATTCTTTTAGTATATTATGATAACTGCATGAATGCATCGTGTTAATACATTAATATGTATTTATTTTTTAATTCGTAGAGAGATAATGATAAATTTATCTGCCAATTTAAAAAAATATTGAAATAAAATTTTTATAAAATTTTAAAAAGGTTTGCTATTTATCACAACTAGTGATAATTGGAGTATTAATCATTTTGATGATCAATTGGAGAATTCATGAAGTGCGTGAGAGTGAAAACCTGGAAACCGATTTAATGATTTACTATGATCGGTTTCCAGGTTTTCACTCTCACGCAC